CTGTCCCCAACATATTTCTCTCTCCTCCTTTTCATTGAGATGGATAAGGAGAATGGAACAGCCCCGCCGGCTCCACACCCAGGTCTGACTCCCTGTGTTTTCCGGGTAACAGTGACCACTGCTTAACTTTCACAAGGACAGTTCTCCCAGAGAGGTGAGGGCCAGAACACAGCATATGAGGCAGGAAAGCGTGGCTACTTACTTCTGAAGTATTTTCTCAGGTCATTAAATGTCTTTTAAAAAAGAAAAATACATTACAGGAAACTAAGAGTTTATCAAAGGCCAGCTGAGAAGGGAAACAGCTGAGGAAGTGGAAAATGCACGTCAGTTTCTGCGGAAGTTCCACAGGCAATCGTCTGAGTGTGCAAGTCAGCTGTCCCCAGCCTTTGGCACCTGACAGGGTGGGACTGGTTTGGGGCTGATTCGAGTCCACGACATTTATCGTGCACTTTTTCTGTTGTTACATTGGATTCTCACAAGGAGCAGGGCCAAGGCCCCTCACATGTGCAGTCCTTAGCAGGCTCCGGTTGGACGCGCAGGCCCAGCGTGGATGGGGACGGCAGCCACTGCTCAGCCTGCCCAAGTCCCAGGGCCCAACAGGTGTGGGTGGGGGTTGGGGTGGAGCCTGGTACAAAGGACAAGAAAGGGTTCCAAATTTCAGTTTAGCTTTTGCACCTCGGTGACCGCTGTGGGACACAGCTACCTCTTCCTTCCTGGACCATGGCCACTGCGTGCCCTGCGGCTGAGCACAGAGCCCCACACGGCTGAGTGTGTCCACAGGTGCCCTGCGTGGCTGAAGGGTGGGTGCGTGTGTGCCTCACCTCCTGTGCCGCCTGCTGTCCACTCCACGTTCTCAGTGGAGAAGGGTCCCTGAGACCTCCCCTGGGAGGCACCTGGTGAGGAATGAGGCAGGCCTGGCCTGACCAATCTAGCTCTGCCTTCATGACTCGGTGTGAAGAGGATGCCAGGGGAGTGGCTGGGCATGGGCTGTGTTCTGCTATCCACCGGCAAAGCAGAGGATGGAGCGGCTCACACCTGCCAGAAGATTCTGCTCCTAGATCAAAGAGCTGCAGGCTGGGGCTTTTTCATGATTCATCTTAACAATAGGTAAAGATTCCTTTTCTGGAGGCTGAGGCAGGAGAATTATGCGAGCTCAGCACTTCAAGATCAGCCTGGGCAACACAGTAAGACTGTATCTTAAAAAATTAAATACATAAAAATAAAGTAGGGCCAGGATGTAGCGCAGTGGTGCCATGCCTGCTTCGCAAGTGCAAGGTCCTGAGTTTGATCCGTGGTACAAAGAAAAAAAGAAAGGGGGCTGGAGAGAGAGAAGGATCCCTTTTTTAAATACATGCTGTGTAAAGGGTGTCATCTGTCAGGCATCACAGTGACCAAAGATACTACATATTTTTATGTGGAAACAAAAAAATAAAAGCAAACTACAAAAAGGCCTCCTGCTTTTATGAGCAGTCACAGGCCCCCCGCCACCCTGGCTGCAGCCACCTCCTGCGCCCGGCAGAACACGTCTTTGGATGGTCCGGTGTGCGTGCAGGTGGAATTGCTCTGGAGCTGGGTTTAATATTCCACAAGGGCAGCTCCCAACCCAATCTTCTCCCCAAGCCTTGGGCTTCCACTGCCCAGAGGTCTCTGTGTCCCCTACAGGTCCCACCTGTCCTTCTCTGTGCAGCCCAACCAAACCCGGGCCTCAGCCGTCAGCTTCTGCCTCTGCTTCCTCTGGCTCTTGGCCACTGGCCTTGCTGCCCTGAGTCTGGACCCATCCCTGTCCCTGCAGTCCCTTCCCACTGTCGCACAGCCTTGGTGACCACTAACTCGCTGGATGCCTGCAGAGGAGAATCAGGCCCTCGTGCGTTCCCGAGGTTGTGGAGGGGCTGATTCCTCAGCAGCATCCATCACTTGGCGTTGGGCCCCACAGACGTCAGCACTCAGCTGCCTCCTCCCCAACCCCATGTGGGTCCCTGTGGCCCTGCTCTCCATGCCCGTATTCCATGGTCCTCAGCCTGCTGGCCACGGATCTGAGCAAACCGCTGTGGCAGGGGATCCCTCTCAGGCAGAACCACCGGCAAACACCAAACTGGACTCTCATTTTCAAAATGACCACTTCTAAGGAGTTCATCGAAGCAGGCAAATTCTTCCCGAGCTTGGAGCTGCTGGGCAACAACAGAGCCCCTGACCTGGTGTGAAACTGTGGAAAGGGAGGACTGCCACTGGAACAAAGCAAGCAAGCCAGGGCTCCCATGCAGCCCTGCTGAGTCTGTGGAACTATCCTTCGCTGCTGCAGGCCTTCGAGGGAAGACGTGGGCAGTGGTCAGGTTACACTGTGGCTGGGGCAGTCACCAGCCCGGGACGTGCAGCAGCTGGAAGGACTCAGCGTCTCCGGCCTAGATTCTTTTTTTTCCCAGGACTAAGGACTGAACCCATAGCCTTCACACTGAGCTACACCCCAGCCCTTTTTATTGATTGTTTGTGTGTGTGACAGAATCTCATTAAATTGCCCAGGTGGGACACAAACTTGAGATCCTCCTGCCTCCTCCTCCCTCAGTGTTGGGATTACAGGCATGTGCCCCTGAGTCTGGCCCTGATCTAGATTCTTAAATTTAACCATCTTCTAAAGTTGCTGCTGGGCCACCGGGACTGTTTTTTAAGAACTTCCTGGTGGCCACATGGGGAGACCAGTGACTGGGAGAACTAGGAGCAGGTGTTGCCCAGGGTGAGAGTCCGGGATCAGATGGCAGGTGTTGGTGCCACTGACCAGGGAGGCTGAGGATACCCAGGCACATGGTTAAGCGGGAAAGAGAGGGCCAGCAAGGGCAGTGTGCACGGACACAGGGGTCGCATCACATCACGGCTCACCATGCCGGCCCGGGTGAGTCACACGGAGAAGCCACCAACTCGGAGTCTCAGCCAGCACAGGAACCACGGGCTCAAGGCCCCTGCATCTGAGGGCAACAGGCCACACATCCCAACAGAGCCCTGGCTGCTCTCTGTACTAAAACCTCTCACGATCCAGATGAAACCCAGTAGGTGATGGCTTCAGCCTCCCATTTTAACTGAAATTTTGTACTCTGCCCTACGAGACAGCACAAATTTGACACTGTTTGAATATTGTCAAATATGGAAGAATACATAGCTGGGGTGCAGCTCAGTGGAGACCCCTGCATGCATGAGGCCCTGGGCTCATCTCCAGCACCAGAGCAGACAAAACCTCTCCAAACCAAACAAAAACAGACAATACAATCAATACATAAACAGAACAGCACCAAAGCTGAGTGAAGTTTAAGGTATGGCTCCCAAAGCACTATAATGGGAAATGCACATATTCTCATCTTTTGGGGTAACGTTTTTTAAAAATGAAATTCTTTTTAAAAAGAAAACCTTGCAGAGTATCTGGAGGAAGAAAACTGTAAAAGAACAAGCGCACAAAAGATCAGCTCATTCTCCTTCCACCCTGAGCACAGCATGTTCTCCGAGCAGAAGAGGGAAGACTCAGCTTTCTCCTTCTGCAGTCAACCTCCGTACTTCTCCCCTTTCTCTTAAGGTACCTTAAGTTATGATTGATATGCAAACAGCTGCATTTATTTAATATACACAGCTTGAGGAGTTTGAGGCAAGTAGAAATCCATGAACTCACCACCAAATGTGCACCATGCACTTATTCATCACCTCAAAGCGCCATTGCCCTCTTACTGCTATTCCTTTGTGTGTGTGTGTGTGTGTGTGTGTGTGTGTGTATAAGAACAATTAACATAAGATATACCCCCTCAGTAAATTGTAAACTAAATTAAATTTTAGTTTAATTTATTGCATGCTTCATAGTAGATCTCTGCGACTGTATCTTTTTGCATAACCAAAACTTTGTAAAAACCAAGGCAGGAAATACTGGCATTCTGACCATTGGCCAGCAGTGCGCAGTCCATGTAGACCAGTGGTGGTGAACCTAGGGCACACATGCCACAGAGTGTTGTTTGTATCACCGAAAGCTCTAAAAGGCTGGGCACCCCTGGGGCAGACACTTCCCAGGAGCCCCCTGGGGACTGCCCTGAGCACAGCAGGCTGGGTATGCAGGGCACTTACCTCGTCTTCCCTGCTCACCTGCCTGGGGCCTGGGCTCCCCTCCATTCTCAGAAGGCTCCTCACACACAATGTGGAGATCAGCACACCAGACTGTGTCAGGAGGCAGCCAGCACCACCCACCACAATACATGGGAGGCTTAGATGTCTAATGCATACTTGTCTTATATGGATTAAGAATATCAGACCATTGTGGAACATGCTTATAATTCCAGCACTCTGGGAGGCTGAGGCAGGAGGATTGAAAGTTTGAACTCAGTCTGGGCAATTTCGCAACTTGGTGAGGCCCTGTCTCAAAATAAAAAAATAATAAAAGTAGCTGGTGATGTAGCTTAGTACAAAGGCCTTGGATTAATTCCCCAATGCACACACTATGTGTGTGTATTTCAATTAAGAAATAGCCAATTGTTTTTGACCCCAAGACATTGCTTTGGTGCTGCACCCTAAAAACAGCCAAATATAATATCTACAAAATGTCTGCTTGTTTGCAGGTGCATTATTCATGAGTCCTCAGAATGTTAGTAAGTGAGCATCAAATACCTGAATGAATAAAAGGCGAAATAAATCATCTGGAATCACAGAATAAATATCTCATACACTATCACTTAAAGACACAATTAATGTGTACTTCAGAGACATCAAAAATGGCAAGGGCACTACTGTTCCCACATGGAAATTCCTAAATACATAACTATGGAAGGAAGAAGGCAGAGGACAGCTGGACACACACTGCACAGCTCCATGTGAGCTGCACCAGCAATGCTTCAAGCACTGACACACGATCCTTTTATACACTGCATTTGTGGCCAGCAAAATGACAAAGAAGTGGGTCCTTGGAGCTGCAGTTGCTCCCAGGCATTTTCCAGGCGCTGCCCTGACAAATGTCTGCAGGGAGGGCAATGGGGGCTGACCTGGTGCGGGGTTGGGGGGCTGCCGGGTATAGGACACGTTGAACGCGGGCTCCTCAAGCAGCGGTGGTGGGTACAGGCGCCTGCGTATGAAGAAGCCAGCTCCGCAGCAGAAAAGCACACCCATCATCAGGAGGAACCTGGGGAGAGGCAGATGTAAGTGGGGCAGAGACAGCTACGGCTGTCCCTGGGCCCTTGGGGATCCAGAAAACTGAGGCCAGAGTGGGTCATGGGGAAGCAGAGCTCACAGCCAGGAGCCCTGGCACCGCAGACCTGGACCTCTCTGGTCCATCTGTCCCAGGAGCACCTCCCTTCCCTGCCTCTAGAGATGGCCCAGGCTGATGGCTCCTGCGTTGTCCCTGGATGGTGGCCACCAACACTGAGAAGCTCTGTGAGGCCTCTGTGTCAAGTCGCTCCAGATGGCTAGCTGGGGTCAGAGTTTGTGCAGTTGCTCTCCCGTGCAGAGCTGTGCACTTGATTGTCAACTCGACTCCTGGGGAGGGGGCTGGTACACCGGGGACTGTGCTGATGAGTAGATTAATGCACTATCCTAAGAGCTGAGTGCTGTGAAGAGGAGGAGGAGATCACCGGGGGTGCTTCGGAGGATGTATCCCTTGCGTGGTCTTCCCTGGGCTCTGCTTCCAGTAGCCTGGAAGTGAGCAGCTCTGTCCACCCACCTTCCAACGTGATATTCCATCTCACCTGCGGCCACAGCAATGGAACCAGCTAATCATGGACTGATTCCTCCACAACCATGAGCCAAATAACCCATTTCCTTCCTTAAGCTGTACGTGTCAGGCATTTTGTCCTAGCAACAGGAAAGTTGACTAATATGGCGCCTCTGACCTCAACTCAGTACCTCAATCTAAACAGAAGATGCTGCCCAAATTCTGTGTTAACATCAGCTGATCCAGCCTCTTTATCACTGTTTACCTTTTCTTATTTTTCAAGGCCATGAGGGTGAGCACATTTACAGTTCCTAACAGATGTTTCCATTATTATCTGAACATCTATAAAGGACAAAAATACTCATCCTGGAGCACATCATAATTATAAAGAAACTACAAGAATAGCAAAAAACACAATCAATAAAAACCTGAAAAACAAATTTTTAAACTGAAAATCAGAAAATCCTAAGTTCTAGATATACCTGGACATTCTCCATATCTTGACTCTGAAGTCTAATGACAGCGCAGCCAAGTCTTTTAAGGGTAAGAACTCTGTCCTACTCATTCAAGAACCCTCATTGGCCACCACATTGACAGCATCAGCAAATGACTTCCCTCACTTCTCATTTGCACTGTGCCTTTTGCGTCTCTGAGAAGGGCCAACAGTAATGGGCAAGACTGACAGATGAGTCTGAGAAACCCTTGCCCACCTCAAGTGCACGTCTGCAAGGGTCTGGGAAGCAAGGCCCCTCTCAGCCTAAGCACGCTGATCTCACATGGGAACAGACTTAACTCTTAGAACTAATCTCCCTCAGGTGGAGTTAGACATAGGCTTAGCTCCAACACTAAGTCCAGCTGTAGCTATCTGAGTAGAAACGTCTAAAGCACAGAGAGCCTGGATGTGAGCATGTGTTTACTTTCTCAGAAACCCAGCTCCTGGACTGCAAAATGCAGTCATTTGTTAAGTGGGTCTCTTCCCTGGAGAAAACCAAGATATCGGTCACACTGCCAGAAGGAATGTTTTTTTCCTAGATGGAAATGACACTGCAGCTTGCTCCTTAAACTAAGAGGGAACAGGCAGGAGGTGAGGACAGCAAGTCACGTGGCAAGGACCACTTGTGGGCTTTGCCACCTGACTCAATCTGCGCTGAAATGTCAGTCTTAGGACTTATCCTCATGGAGAAGAACTCTGGAGGGGGGAGAATGAGCTGATCAGGACCAGGAGGGAGGGCCGCCCTTCAGCAGAAGGCGAGCCAGTCAGCAGGGAGAGTGGTTCTCAAGGCGGCGAGCTGCAGATGCCCAGACCCTGTGCACTCTGTTCTGCCTCTCAGCAGGTTCTGGAAGGTTCCCAAGGATTAACAGTGGAAGCAGTGCACTTTTCCTATCATCAAAGTAATGTGGTTTCTTTAATTCAATTTTTGCCCTCAGTCCTCCCTGTGCCATGCCCAGCCTGAGTACGGCAGGTGTCTGCTCTGTGTATCCCAGCAGTGGGTGCAGCCGCCATGCAAACCCTGCTGTCCAAAACTCAGTGAGATCCCAGCATGGAGGCCCTGGCAGCAGGTCACCCACAGGACCCCAGCCCTTACCCAGACCCTGCGTGCCCAGCAGTTGGATCCAAGGGTGTTGCCAGCTGCCTTGTCTAACCCGGGCCATCTCACTGAGACCTCCTTGGTTAAAGGCCCTCAAGATTGTGGAGCTGGCTGGGACTCAAGTGCCCTCCCCAAAGGTTTTTGTTTGGGTTTGTGTGTTGAGGGTACTGGAGATTGAACCCAAGGCTTTTGCACTGAGCTGCATCCCCAGCTTTTTTATTTTAAATTTATTTTGAAACAGGGTCTTGCTAAACGGTTAAGTTATTCCAGGCTGAGCCTGAAGTTGCCATTTTCCTGCCTTGGCCTCCCAGAAAGCTAAAATTACAGGCCAGCCCCACCACCGCTGGCTACCCTTTGTTTTATGGTGAGAAGACAGAAGTCCTCACAAGTCAAGGTGAGGGCCCCAGGTGCACAGCCAGCCTTCCCATCCAGCCCCATCCTTTCCTCCTCACTGCATGGACTTCCAATCTCTCTCTCCCTGTGCCCAACCTTCCTGTGCTCCTGTCCCTGCAATGTACTGTCCACTCTCTCCGAAGATCTACTCAAAATCTCTGCATTCTCCCCAACTGCCTGGCATCAGAGCTTCTGGGGATTGTTTGCACAGTTCTGGCGAGAGCTTCTCTACCTGTGATTATCTGCTTAGACCTCTGTCTTTCAGGAGCCCCACTGCCATAAGAGCCTTCCCAGGAGACCCCAGCAGAACACCTGGTGCATGCTGGGCACCTGAGGTTTGCTGAGAGAAGGAAGGTATGGAACAGAGTCCAAGTGTCCTGTGTACCTCAGCCAGGCCCCTCCAACTCACTTCCCAAGGTGTCCTCTGGGTGTACTTCCAGGTGAACCTGCTTCCAGATCTCCATCTCAGAACTGCCAAATCTTCCAGCAGTAGGCACTGTGACCTGCAGAGCCTGCCCTCCTGCACTGTGTGGAGGACCAGCCAGGTCAATGGATTGCCCTCACTCTGACAGATGAACCCAGCCATCAGCCCAAGAGCGCCTGGCTCCAGTCCAGGTTAAGTTGACCAAGGGAGGCTACTGGGCCCTGATAGTTCTGGACTCTCATTTTTTTCTTCCTCACATAGAGCCTGATCTTCGTAAGTTTTTTCCATTTTTAGGAACATCTCTACAACCTTCTCACCATGCATCTGGTGCTTCAGACAAACCAAAATATTTCCCAATCCTTTCAGGGTTAGGGTTTCATGCCCCAGACAGCACTGTCTCCTTTTGTCCCAAAGACCTGGTAAGATTCCCGAGGGAGTGCATGGCCCAAAGTTCGGCATGAAATGCCCCCTTTCCCTGGCCTCCTCTGCCCTCCTGGTGCTTCCTTTCCACCTTGAGATGTATCGGGAAGTGTTCACATCTTGGAAGTCTTAGGGTAGAACAATTCATTTCCTCCTACAGAGTTTCAGACACTAACAGCTAAGAGTTGGGAAAAGCTGGACTCTGTACGCCCTTGTTCAGCAGTGCAGTTGTCCAAGGAGAACTTCCTGAGCTGGTCCCAAGGGAGGCCTGGCCAGGGGCCAAGGGGCCAAGTGACACCCAGCTCCCAAATATCCAAAGCCTAACCAAGGAGCTGGGGCTAACGTTGGAGATGATGGCAAGAGGCTTTGCTATTCAAGAAAACCTAGGACATTTGACTCCCTGAAGGTTTCTCTAATCAAATGCTGGGACAATTGTCAACAGAGAAAGACAAAACCTCACAAAGTATTTAAGTGGCTGCTTTAACATGCTCAATAAAGTTTTAAAGGTAAGTGAAAGGCAAGCAGTATGGTGTATGCCTATAATCCCAGCACACTGGGAGGCTGAGGCAGGCGTATCAAAAAGTTCCAGCCCAGTATGGGTAACTCTGCCACTTAGCAAGAATATACCAAAAAGGCACTGTAGTGGGGGATGTAGCTCAGTGTGAAGGCCCTAGAGTCAATCCCCAGTACCAAAAAAAAAAAAAAGTAAAAAAAGGTAGTGAAGTCAGTACCTCAAAGTTATAAAGAAGAGCATGAAGTGTCAGCCTTTAGTGGCATTGACCGGAGGATGTCACCAGCATGTGAGATCAGAGAAGTGGGTGAGTTCAGAAACTCCTCTCTTGTTTTAAAGAAATCCCTTTCCACATGTTATCTGAAGGATGGATACTTCTTATCCACAGTGTCAAATGGATTCTCAGAGAGCTCTGAAATGGCACACCCTCAGGGTCCTGCTCTCTGGAAGGAAACTGTACCCCCTTTCCCTAAGGGTACGGTTTGTAGACTTCGGATGCCTCATAAACTTCCTTCCAAGGAGTGGAAGAGGCACAAGGACCCAGGCGGTACCTTGAGAGCTAAGACTGAGCCACATGAGGTGAATGGAGATTTCCAGGTCGCAGAAGCTTGATCACAAGTCTTGATTTGCTGATTCTGATTCCTCAACTCAGCCTTAGCTCCATTTCCGAAACTGGCTAAGCAGCTGGTGAAGGAAGTTGTCCAGCCACCTTTCAAAGCAGAACTCTTCTCCACTAGGCGCCTGCAGAAATGGGAACCAGCTTTCTGCCAATTCTGTGAGCTCTCACGAGACTGAGCCAAATACTCCTGCTTTCTTGACTCAGCTGTCCCGAAGGCCACAGCCCAAGGTGGAGGCAACAGAACTGAGGTGGTGACGATGCTGACAGTGGGCTGAGCTCTTGGGGGCTGAGGACAGTGAAGACTGGCATCCACAAACAAGTAAGAAATGTGACCTACCAAAAGTACCACAGCCTCTGTATGGAGAGGGCCCGCACACAACACCTGGAACCACAGCAGTCCTCATAGGAGCGGCATCTGGGGAGAGAGGGCGCAGGCTGATTAGAACCAGGGTGAGAAGAGCACCAGAGCAGTCTCATGGCCCGCTGGGTTTCAACAAGTACAATGGCCTGTTTCCAGAGAGGCATCACCCCTGCCAGCTCCACGACCAGAAGGAAGCTCCCTAACAAACTAGCAATTGGAGTTGATCTCTGTTCAGTCTTCAATCCCTGAATGTAGGAACAAAGTAGAATTATCCCGGTAAGTCCACTGGTGTTAGAAAGAGAATAGGAGTCAAACATGAGGAGGCTTAGTCCCAGCCTCACCACTCACTCACTGGGAGTTAACCTCTGTGAGCCTCACTGTCTTCACTAGCACAGTGTGTGGGAAGGGAGGGGCCCTTCACAACAGAGTTAAGTTTTTAGGACACTGTGCTCCAGAAAGTCCCGGGACATCGTCCAAATATGAAGTGCTACAATGATTATGACTGCCCATGCTGCCTCCTTCCATCTGACACCCAGGTGAGGCTCAGACTCCCCATCAGGCACAAGCTCATGTGACAAGCTCAGGAGCTGTCCTTGCCCAGCAGTCACCGAGAAAGGCCCCTAGGACGATACCCACTACAGGCTGGGAGGAGTCACACACCTCCTTCAGTATCTCTGCCCTCCCCACTCGTTTCCTTTGGGGGAGGGAAAATGTCCAAAACTCAACTGCTGTGTTGCGCAGTTCGGTATCCACAGAGAATCCTTCCCTGGAGAAATCACAGTCCAGGTGGGAGGGAGGTGGGAGGACGGGAAACGCCTGTCTCTCAATGATATGAAATGATCGTATAAGTAGGACCTAGCTGCCTACCATATTTGTACTTCAAAAAAGTAGTGGGGGAAAAACATACAGCTCAATCTGAGATTTGGGCACTAAATTTGCAATTTATTGCAGCACAAATAGGCTTTTTTTAGTGTAAAGAAAATGTGTAGAAAATTGCTCTCTGGGAAATACTAATCCAATGGATGGTGTTGATAACAGAGGCCTGGGAGGTGGTGGTCCTCAGTGCCTGACACTGGTGCTTCTTGCTGTTCGTTTTTGTTTTTTGTTATTGTTCAGATTTCTTGTTTTTTCAGGTTTTATTTTTTAAGTAACATAGATTAACTGTACACATTTGTGTGATTTTTCAAATAAAAGCAGGTTAGGTCACTGAGGCTCCTGGGCGTGGTTCTGCTTCTTTGCAAACATCCAGTACCTTCTAAATCCTCTACTGAGCAGAGAGACACCCCCAAAACTACCATCCCCCACACAAAATGCTCCAGATGATATGAATATTTATGTGCTCAGTCTTTCTGTGGCCCATAAACACAAACTTCTACCTAGTTCCCAACTCCTATGGTTTCAGTGAGATGTTCCTGTAAGGTACTGACCTAAGCTAATCTGCTTAACTTGCTTGGATTGACCAGTGTCTACCACAGCCACCTAAACGAGTGCTTTAAAATGTTGCTGGTTCTCATAAGCCATGCATGCAAAAATAGCCACTAAGGACCTGCTAGGAGCTGGCTCTAATCCAGGTCCTGGAGCTGGTCCTGCAGCTAGAACAATCAAGCCCAAGTGACAATCCCTGCTGAGGAGGCGCTTTCTTTCCCCAAGAGGGGAGCAATCGATAACAACAGAAACAGGAACTGCATTAGATGGCATCATGTTCTGTGATGCCCAGCAAATCAGTGTCAGCAATTGAGAGCATCGGGGAAGGGAGGTGTCACAGAGTTTTAGACAGGTGCTCAAGGGTAACCCCCAGAGATGGCAACGTCTGAGTACAGACCACACAGAGATCTAGTCTGTGTATGACCCTAGCAGCAGGACGGTCTCAGTATTTGGGGCCTGGGGCCTCCAGTTCCTTCCACAGCCCCACAGCTGCACTAGGCAGAGTACAGAATGGGATGCCCAGCATGGGATGTCTGGGCCAGGCTGGATCAGCAAGAGCCTGGCCCTGCACAACAGCACCCTCTGCCATCCCTGGTGCCCTCCTTCCAGCAATCTCATGGTCTTGGGCAGCTCTGTGTGCATGCAGGTGTGTATCAACGGAGGGGGAGAGTTCAAGGGAGACAAAAGACTTCTCGCCATTGGGTAGGTGGATTCAGACAATTAACCGCAAACTGAAAGAAATGAGACTGTTTCCTAGCAGCATTTGCAAAGATGAACATTCTTGGCGATTGTGTGGGATTCATGGTGTGATAGTGTGGTAGCCTCAGGATCTTGACCCCCTTACTCTGTGAATGTCTGCTTCTCTTACTTGTGGACCCTGTAAGATGGGATGATCATAATCACTCTATGATTATGGGATTGTAAATGAGGACGTATGTAACATAAGGCCCTTTTGCGGCAGACTGGCAATTCTCCTCCTGGCTTTGAAAGTAGCTGCCATTTAGGGCCTGCAGGTGTGATTAGTTGAAACTAGAACTTCATAATGACCAGAAATGTTCCCAGAAAAGCCTACATCATTCCACAGTGAGCACAGAAATCAGTAAAGGACTGAAATAATACACTGAGAGGGGACACTAGGTCGAAGTACGATGTTGGGCTGGAGTGATTCCCTTTGCCTACAATGTCGATATGCACAAGAACAGTACTGCCCAGCTGTTGAGATCTCACTGGTAGACTGTGAATTCGACTTAGTTGATTGCATTGTATAAGGATAAAAATCAGTTTATAAAAATCAGAGAGCATTGTGCTTGTTTTGCGGCCAGGCACAAAGCCCTGTGTGTCTGAGGCTGTGCATGCAGCATGTGTCTTCAAAGCTGCTGGTGGGATAACCAGAAGCCAGGCGTGCACAGGCTGAAGTTCTGCAGGGGCCGGAATCAGCTTCTCTCATTCTCCTGGGAAGCTCCAGTTGGCCTCGGATCCACATCCTGACTCTGAGTCACTTTCCACTGCTAATAGTGCTCAATGAACATCTCCTTCTGGTCTTTCCTGTTTTCTGACTGGGCTACTGCCATTTTTGTTTCTAACCCTACTATTTAATGTCCTGCAATGATCAAATTCCAAATGCAGACTCTTACGAGGGGGCACACTGTACTTACTGAAGGAGGGCAGGGTGGCTAAGGAGGGTGCAGAACAGAGCCGACGGACACCTGTGGCTCAGCAGGAACAGGCTGAGCCATTCCAAGTCCAAGGCTGTTTCTCTTCTGCTGGCGCACCACCCTTTGCACCATGATGTGTCCTCAGTCTCCCTCTCTCTGGGTTTTATGATCAACTATAACAAGAGCTCCTCAGCTCTGGGCACAGCCAGGGCTGAAGGACTTTGGAGGCCTAGCTATGAACCTGGTAAAAAAGGACAGCAGCACACAGCTGTAACCCCAGCACTCTGGGAGGCTGAAGCAGGAGGATTACAAGCCTAGACGCTGTCTCAAAATTAAAAAAAGATCTGAGAATGTAGCTCAGTGTAAAGGCCTGAAGCTCAATACCCAGTACCACAAAGAGAGAGGGGCAGGATGGACACACACACACACAGGGGCACAAGCAGTAAGCAGTGTGGGATAGTAGGTATACAGAAATAAATTTAGTGATGGAATCATCTTTCAGAAGCTGATTTGTTCAAATGCCCCACTTTCACAGTTATACTTGTAAAAAAACCTTTGCTGTTTTGAAGCCCTGCAGCATCCATTTTCCTGTTACAGGAAGCACACAAAACCTAGCTTTTCCACACACTTAGAGCCCCTGATCCAGAATTCTGAGAAGCCTGATGTATTTACTATACTAATGCATTTAAGAACATGATGTACACAAACTTCTCACCCCTCTTGAGAACACCTCTGTCTTAGAGTATTAGGCGCATAATGGTTTGCGAGTTCTGACTCAAATTCTTTTCAGCTGGCGAGTCAACGCTCAAGCGCTCAAGCTCACTTTTCTGGATCCAGTTTTGAAAAACCAGCAGCAAATAAACACTGGCAAATGATTATCTGCTCTCTTCTCTCCACACAGAGCCTGCTTTCTGCTCCCTTCTCTGGCTGAGCATCCTCGAGCCTCATCTGCAGTTCTGGCCCAGCTCCTGGCGTGGTGCTGGGAAGTGCAGCTCCGTGGAAGGAGCACACAATTACCCAGGGGTGACACTCTTATCCTTTTCCCTCTGCTGCTTTCCTTCAATGAAGCTGCTGACAAATTGGAGCCCTAAACACACACCCGCTGATATTTCAAATAGCTGTGATTATAAACAAAATTTTAACTCTAACATCATGCTTAATTAAAAGCAGCAAACACAACCAGGGGTCAAGCACACTAAATAAGCCAATTGTCCAACATGTCAAGCCTAATGCTGTTCTTGCCCTAAGCCTCATGATGGCATCTGTGTTCCAAAAGACGTCAGCAAGGCTAAGCTGGATGCGGAACAGATCAGGATAGAAACAAAAGAATGGGATTTTCCTTTGTGTTCTACTGTGTGCCAGATGTACAAATTCTCAGACTTGCGGTAGCAAAGAACAAACATCACTCTTAACCAAATCCACCCTTCAGCACAGCTAATTATAGGCCCAGGGCTCTGAAATACACAGCATCCTGTAAGAGTGGAAAGAGCCTGTGCTTCGGCAGAAATGGGCTGCTGGAACTGCTTCCTGCCAGCCAGGCCTCCTCACTGTACACTAGGACCAAGAGCAGATCTCTGTTGAGGCCCAACAATGGGGCAGTCCCCTCGGAGTGCTCTTGACCTGTAACTCAGTATATTGCAAAGATGAGATCAGGGCATCTTCCTCTCTCTTAGGCAAGAGCTAGTGACACAGTCCTGGAGATGCAGAATGTAAAAGGACGCAGATGTCTAGCAGCATGCTGGCCAGTTACGAATGTGTCATAGCAGTGTGATGGAACAGCACAGTCCCTCTAAGAGATTTTAGACGTAAGAAATAAACATGGGTCTTCTTAACACTGTCCAGGGGAGAGGAGGATCTGGCCATGGGTCACATCTACTCTG